TTGTTTCAGAGGTTTACTTCGAAGTGCTTTATTTGGTTCAGGAAAGATGAGCAGGGAACTTCTAGAAAACAACCATTAAGTTGGCATATTTCCTTCATTAAGTAAGAACTCTTTCCTCTTAATTTCCCATCCTTTGATCCAGTTGGTTGTCCTAATTATCTTTTTCAAGTGATTCATTGTTATGCTTCAATCACACACAGGTCACTTGCTGAATTTTCACGAATTCCTATTGTAGTGACGAACCAAGTGAGATCTCAAAGCCAAGATCAGGCCTGCCAGTATTCCTTTCAAAGTATGATTGCCTAATCAGATTGTTCAATTCTGCATGGCTTGTTTACACAAAAGAATTTATAATGTGCAGTGCATAACAAGAGGGAGACTTTAGAGACTTCTGCAACATATGATACACACCTTGTTGCTGCTCTGGGTATTAATTGGGCTCACGCTGTCACTATTCGTCTTGTGCTGGAATCTAAATCAGGTTGGCGTAATGCTCCAACAACAAAAAAGCCTTATCTCCCATGATTTCAACTCTTTTTATTTGGAATAATGCTATGTTCTTCTCTCCAAATGTTGGAAGAAAATGCTTTTGTCATGGTTATTTGCTTTTACAATTTCCTTTCCTTTCTCCTGAGGCTAAAATTTCTCTTTCTAGTTTAATGTCTCTTTAAGAGAGTCAAATATTATATCCATCTTATTACTGAACTAAATTTTTACAATCCTCTCTTCCCCTGCAGGTCAGCGGTTTATTAAGTTAGCAAAATCTCCATTATCTCCCCCTCTTGCTTTTCCTTTCCATGTAACTTCATCTGGGATTTCCTTGCTAAATCATGATGGAATAGAACTTACGGGACCAGAGATAAACTCAATTCACCATCAAGGTTGGCAAAACTGTTCCATGCATTAAGAACTGTTCATCACTGATGTTTTTGTAATTTTGATCTTCCACTGAAGAAGATACCATATGAAGCTATAACTGTGTAAATAGGTTCCACATTCACCTGTGCGCTGCATTCTAATTGTTTCCATAGACATAGGTTTTCTTAATTTCAGATGGCCCGGGTGTATTACTAAACATGTTATTCAAGCTTGTTTTTTCATTTCAATGAGGATATTCAAAAATCTTGTATTCCAATGACAAATTTGCAGGGCACAATGAAATAATCAACTTTGGAGTTGAAGGCGTGCAATGATCTGCAGGGTAGAAGCTGTAGGGTCTACGTTGCAAGAAGTTTATGATACTATGAAACTGTTCAAGCTCATTTGAGCCAATGTCCTCATCCACCCTGAGAGAAACATCAAGGATGTGCTAGAATCCTTGTTCTTATGCCCCACAACATCATCAAACCTTACAGGGTAAGTCCAAGTTTCCACAACCATATTGACAATCTCAAATTATCTTAACTATGTATAAATGTATAGCGTCAAGGACAGTTTTTCATGCCAAATCTCTGAAGTTGCTTCTGAGCTATATATATTATCATAGAAGGATCCAAATGCCATTTAGAAGAAGGCAAACAAATTTACCTATCTTTCAATGTTTGTCCCACCTTCATAAATATTTTGATTCATGACAGCCACTGATGCATCTTCTCATCTGAATCAAAGAGTCCAGATGGGTTTCAGATATCTTCTGTTTTACTCTCTTACAATACCCTCACATGCAAGATATACATATTACTTCTTCTCCAAGAATTACCCTTGCTTGAGTGTGATCTTAATCAGGAATAACTTGGACTCTATTTTTCCAACATTATTATATCATTCACAGTTCATTCTTTCTTATTTTAGTTAGAGAGGAAGACTTTTTAAAGACAGAAAGTACCTGAATCCATGGGATTACTCATTTGCCTCATTCTCAATTAAAGAGTACATAAAAACAAAATACATAAAAACAAAATCAAGGATTTATTTTTCTATGACCTTCTGGTAGGCTGGTAGTCATAGTCAATGGCCCAGTTCAGCATGGACTGGCCTGGTTATATTGCAAGTTCATGGTTGTGATCATCGTTAAAGTGAGTAACCTCTCAAATTCCATTTGATACAGCGAATCAAATTCTAACCTTACATCCAGTTCTTGTCTCTAAATGATTAATCTTTTTCACATTACAAGAATTTTCATTTTTACGAAACCTTTGATTTGAACATATGTATTTTCGTTGTCGAAAAATACCATCAACAAACCGCATGTTCCCTTTCCTTATAGTGAAACCCTTTGATAAAGCATATTGATTGTAAAGATGATATGCTTTTTCTTTAGATTTAACTTTTACACCAACTTTAAGCTTATCATCAAATTTAGAAGAACTTCCAATCTTAGAAGCCATAAAAGATATCTGGAGAGAAAATCATTTATAATTTTAAAAAGTTAAAAAACTTATATTGCTATTGTAACAAATTACAAAAAAAAGAGCATAAATCCAATTAACAATAGAATTGCCTAAAGCATAACAAACCTCCTTTCGAAAAGAATCAAGAAGATGAAGAAGGCCCACTTTTTGATTCATAGAAGAAGAGCAAATTAGATGGAACAGGGAAAATCTTCAACTAAATATATTTGTATTTTTGTATTTTTGCCTAACGTTAATGGTTTGAGTGCGGAGAGATTGAAATTGACTACAATACTAAAAGTTTGGAAAATAATGCAACAAAGAAAAGAAAGAAAATGAGAGAAGCGGGAAAGGCGGCAAACAAATTTTATTTTGAAAAGATTTTCCGTTAGTTAAACTTACCGTTAATTAAATTTGGATTTCCCATTTGTTTCCCTCTCCGTTCAATAATTGATAAAGTGTAAAAAAAAGCTAACATGGTGGCTTTTAATTGGACCGGGAGTGGTATCCCGGTGATATCCCAGAACTGGAAAAGGAGAGTGGCAACATTGTCAGAATCTTTCGAGATTCATGCAAACCCATTTTAGAAGTCATTAAAGGTTTCACGTGTAATTAGCATAAAAAAAAATTAGCATAAAAAAAAAAAAAGATTTCACGTGTAATGAGTTGGTGGTTGAAATAATGAGTGCGCATTTTTATCTTTGCAACAACGACCAAAAGTAATTCGTAAAGTCTAGATGGAAGCGTCCTTTATTATTATTTTTTTTAAAGATTTTTTTTGTAATGAGTTGGTAGTTGAAATAATGAGTTCGTTTTTTTGTCTCTACAACAACGAGCAAAAGTAATTCGTAAAGTCTAGATGGAAGCATCCTTTATTATTATTTTTTTTAAGGGTACAAAATAATGGTATAATTATTCTATTTTTTATTATTAATTATACATTAATTTATATAAAAAATAAAAAAACTAATATTAATTTTAATATTTGTGATATATAAATATTTTTTTATTAAATAATAAATAAAATTAATATCAATTTTTAATTTTATTATGTGTATTAATAATAAAAAATTACAATATATACATCTTGATCCCATGACCTAAGAGTATATAAAAAAAAAAAATTATCAACTAAAGGACTTCCTTTATGTTGAAGGAATTAATCTCTTTGAAGAATTCAAATGTCAGCGCAACTATTTTAAATTTTGTTCATACCCCCATATCTTTGATTGGTACTAATTTTTTAAAATTTACGATTAAAGGCACTTTGAGACTAATTTTTATATATTTTGAAATTAATATTTTATTAAATAAATTTTAAAACACATTAATTTAATATATTTAATAAAATTTATTTTTTAAAATATTAACCTTAAAATTTGAATCATTCACTCAATTTACAAAACTACAATTCCTTACTAGTACTGGTAGGTTCAGTCTTTATGTATGTTTGATGGGTAACATGATATCAGAAAACAATTCATATTTTTACCAACTCTGCACCGTCCTAGCACTCTAACTTCTGCTCATGGTGATCTAGAGTCTGAAGTCTGAGCCCACCTCTTTTCTTTTCTATAATTCCGATGATTCCATTTTTGAGCTACCTAAAGAATGATTGAAAAGTAATATTCTCCTATGAAAAGAAAGTGAGAATCCATAAAGGTTATAATATCAATTTGTCCCTCAACTTTCAAATTTATATCACAATTATCCTTCAACTTCAAAAATTATTAAAATTATCCCTACTTTAATTTGTTGTACAAAATAGTCCTCAAACTTTAAAAATAATACCAATTTAATCTTTAAACTTTAAAGATAAGTATCAACTTAGTTCTTAAACTTTAATTACAAATATCAGTTTTGTTTTCTAACTTTAATTGTATATTAATTTGATATGTAAATAAAAATATATCACGATAGCAAAATATAAATGATTTTATACATCATTAGCATTTTAAAAAAGAACTGATTTTGTGACAAAATAACAAGATTACAGAAAGTGCTAGGCAATGGTGAGAAATTGCTCACAGCTTAGAACCTAGAGTGCATGGGCAGTGCTTAGGTTGTCTAAGTAGTTTTTTTTAAACAATAATTTTTTGATATAATTTTAAGAAAATCAAAAAAAAAAATATAAAACAATTAATTTTTTTTAAATAAATAGAAAAATTAAACATTTTTCTATTTATTATCATATCTAAAGAGCAGAATTTAGGGAAATTACTTGGCATTTAATTTTTTTAAATATAATTTTTATAATAAATTAAACAACAACATTTTGTTAGGTTAAAAAATTAAAAAAAAAATTGCTTAGGTGCTTTAGATGCCATTAAGCACACCTAATAATGCCTAAGCATGCTTAATTGATTTGGGTGATGCAAACCACATTAAATTTCTACCTAAAGGCTGATGTAGGCGAAATGGAACTGTCTAGAGCCTAAGTGGCACCTAGGCTCATTTTTTACCAGACTATAAAATAATGAGTTACTTGATGCTTCTATTAACAGAAAGACTATTTTGGTATTAAAAATTAAAGTTTAAGAATAATTTTGATACTTTTGAAGGTGTGGGATAATTTTGATACTAATCTAAAACTTGAGGGACCATATTGGTATTTAACCATCATAAAACTAACAATCTAAAAGAATAAAAAAAGGCTTAAAGCCAACTATAGTTCTCGTACTCTGTGAAAATGTTCGTTACCGTCCCTCTACTTTCCTTACAGTATAAATGTCATCCCTCTATTACACCTTTTTTGTTCAATGTCATTCCTAATTGAATGCCATCCACATTTCCATTAATTTTGACCGTTAATTACTAACAGTCAAAGATTCAACTTTGTTTATTATTTTTTTCTACCAAATAAGACAAGTGGGACCATTTTTTTTCTTTTGGTTCTGCATTTTTGTTTCTTTCTAGTTTACAGAGGATATGGCACGAAAAAAGTGACAAAAAGACCATCTACAAATGCAAACAACTATCTAACACAACTTAATTGCCAAATAAGCAATACTGCAGAAAACACATTTTCAAATTCAACCAAATTGAAGCAACCATCTTATGATCTCTGAGCTTTTTTCCCATTTCAGAGTTCAAATTCTTCAAATAATTAATCTCTCCATGCAGGTCCAAATTCTCTCTTTTCAATTACAGGAGCTCATTCATCAGTGTTTGCTCCTTATCCATCAACATGTTATCCAGAATTCAGCTCAAGTCTCATCATCCTTCTACAACAATATAAAACAAAAACTATATGTATCAAAATCCAAATCAACCATAATACCACAGCACAACCCAAAATTAACAACAATTAATAACAAATTTCACCAACCCAAAATCAACAAGAAAATCTACAATTAATAACAAATCTCACCAATCCAAATCCAACACAAAATCAACAAGAAAATTCATGATTAATAGTAGCTATCACAACCCAAAATCAACACAAAATAAACGAGAAATTCCATAGTTAACAACAGCTTGCTCGAACACATTCTGGGTTGGGTGATTCCATGATTGGGTGAAGAAAAGCAAGATGATTTTTGGCAACTTTGGGTAATTTTGGTTTCAGCATTTTTGGGCAATTTTGGGCGATTTTGGCTGTAGGATTTTGTGGGTTATGGTGAAAATGGTGAAGAAGGATGGAGAAGAGGAGCAACCGATTGGGTGAACTGGTGGGTGAACTGGTGAAGATGGTGCGTGATTTGGGTGAAGAAAAGCAAGATGATTTTCGACAATTTTATGTGATTTTGGGTTTAGGAAATTTGGGTGATTTTGGCAATTTTAGGCATAGGGTTTTCTGGTGAACATGGTCAAGATGACGAAGAAAGAAAGAAAGACAAAAGGTTGGTGAAGAAGAGTGAAGAAGAGGAACAATTGAATGGGTGAACTGGTGAACTGGTGAAGACAATGAAGAAGGGCATGGGCTTTGTTCTGTCGATGATTCAAGGAAAATGACCATGAGGAAGAAAGAAAAGGAAATAAAAGCAAGAGTTAAATAAAAAAAATGGTCCCACTTGTCTTATTTGGTAGAAAAAAAAATAATAAACAAAGTTGAATCTTTGACTGTTAGTAATTAACGGTCAAAATTAATGGAAATGTGGATGGCATCCAATTAGGGATGACATTGAACAAAAAAGATGTAGTTGAGGGATGACATTTATACTGTAAGGAAAGGAAACTAGAGGGATGGTAATGAACATCTCCTTAGTAGAGGGATGGTAACGAACATTTCCTTAGTAGAGGGATGGTAACGAATATTTTCACAAAGTATGAGGACTAAAGTTGGCTTTAACCCTAAAAAAAATAAAAACGAGAAAAAGAGAAAAAGGTAAAGACATGCATGGAAGTATAAACTGGTATCTGGGGCAGGCGTCAATGTCACGCACGCTCCATAACTTGTTTGCTCTCCTCTCTGGGAAGTTGCCCGGAAGCATTGCCTGTGTTGAGTGTTGAGGGCATGGAACTTGGATACGCCTGACTCAATCAAACAGATTCAATATTGTGATGACGTTGAAGAATTTCTTACAAACCATTCAAATAAAAAACAAATTTCTTTATGCTTTACATGTATGTATGAGATTTAAGATTGTCTGAAAACACCAAATCATCTTGTATTTTATATCAAAATATTAGTGCCAGTTTTTTGGCGGCCTCACCAACAGACTGAACCTATATTTGCTGGATTGTATGATGAAGAAACTTGGAAAAAGTTGATTGCTTTTTCATCATCGATCAGCCTTAAAAATCTAAGGTCAGCTTCTTAAGATTTGGTCTAAAAGTAACCTTGTAGGATTGGAATTGAAGGCAAATCACTTGTAAAGAGAGAAGATTTCTTGTGTTGGAGCCTGGAATTAAGCCAATTAAACCAGAATTTGGAGGATTCAAAATACTCAAGAAGATAACATGAAATTCTTATTCATTGTATAGCCAACATTTGAGATGGATAAAGATACAAACACAAAACCTATCCCACACACATCATTTTCTCCCTAAAATTTTCAAAGAACAGTTGAAGAGGTCTCTATTACTAGATACAACATCTTAAATAAAAAAATAAAAAAAAAAACCATGGGTTAGGCAGATCTTTTTTCTTTGTTCTTTTTTTTTTTTTTTTTTTGGGTAAAGAAGATGAAATATAACCAAAAGCATTACTATCTGGGGTAGTAAACCCCTACAAGATCAGCCATACAAAACAAATTCACATGGACAGTCAAACAAAATATAAAACCCATGAGGGGCTAAAGCTTCCTTCTTGGCATTAGCATCAGCTGCCATGTTGCTCTCCCTCATCACATGTTTCAGCTGGACTTGGGGAATGGTGCGCAAAAGGTCCCTGCAATCCATAAGCAAAGTGCTGTGAGGATGAAAGGGATTTCGATCATCTGATAAAAGAACATAGGCAACCATGGATTAGGCAGATTGTATCTTTCACGTTCAACAGGTAAGAAGGACTAAACAGAAGCTGTGAATCTGGATCTAAAACGATAAATTTCACCTCTTGGAGGATTCTTTTGCCTTTGAGAAAACGGAGATGACAGTCTTGCACAATCTCTCAAAAATTTTTTCTTTCACTTGACCCCTCTTTGGAGGAAATCTTGCCCCCTTTTTCTCCTTTTTTTGGAGAGTAGAACCGGATGCTGACATCGTGTATCTGCATACAGAAAGAAAACTAACGTTAACATAAATAGGAAGGTGAAAAGATGACCTCAGACTTTATCAGGAATCAAGATACCTTGTATGGACACAGAGGAAAAATGGAAGGAGAGATTAAGAAGATTGTCGTAAAGAAGAAGGAGGAGGAGTGAGGGAGGGGAAGGAAGAGAGAATTTTTTTAAGTAATTAAAGAGTGAGAGGGTGCTTTTTTTGACAAAACATGCTTATCACCCCTTTAACTTAGTGGCAAATCACCCCTTCAACTCACTTTACAGGTAGATCACCCCCTCAACTCACCTGCAGTGGCAAATCACCCCTTTGTTAACGTCGGCACTATCCTTCCGTTAGCTTTTAAAATTCATGATTCTAACTCGATTCCATCCTCCTTCCTTCCCTCCTCTATATACCCCTCCCGTTCCAGCTCTCCCACATCTTCATACTCTCAGCTAGGAAATTTCAGATGAGGACCATCTTCTCTAAGTCACCTTTGCGGGCAAGGTCCACTCCGCCACCTTTGCCGGACCGCCAGACTTTTTCAGAGTCCATAATGGCCGAGGACATCGAGGTGGCTCAGTCGATAATTACTAAATGGGACTCTTCGGACTCCTCCTCCTACTGCAACATCGCCTACCTCTTTTCCCTAGAGAACCGCCACGAAGTAAAACAATATCTCAATTCCATCAAGCACCTCCAGCGCTATGGAGTACTTCGTCTCCGAGAATCCAGTGGCAGGGAAACTAGTCCGGGCTCAGAACCTGATGCAAACCACCACAAAACGGTCCAGAGGGAGTTTTATCAGGTTCTCAAGTAGAACATGGATCACCTTGATCCGGAGTTTGTCTCCAGCCATTCCTCCAGAGCTTCTCGGATTTCGAAGACGAGTCTGACTACGAGTCGACGCGAGAACGAGACGATTTTTGAAATGGAGAGAGCTTCAACGGCGTTAACAGAGGGGACTATTAAAAACTAACGGAAGGATGATGCCGGTGTTAACAGAAGGGGTGATTTGCCACTGCAGATGAGTTGATGAGTGGTCTACACGTGAATTGGGTTGAAGGGTGATTTGTCACCAGTGGATGAGTTAAAGGGGTGATATGCATGTTTTGCCTTTTTGGTCAAGGTGGGAGGAGGAGGAGGAGGGACTGGGGAGCAATTTTTCGAAGTAATTTCTTTGGTTACTTAGCTGTTAAGTTTCTAGTTAGTTTAGCGTGGAAAGATTTTTTCTTGGATATGTGTATTTTCTTTTTTTATTTTGAGAAAATGGAAATGGAGATATATATATATATATATATATATGGATGTGTGAGTAGCTTTCTACAGTTAGGGTTTCACCAATATTGGCGGGAAAGTAGACATGCCTGCTAACGGGTCTCAGGACAGGGGACGCATGGATTCTGGAGGAATAGTTGGGAACAAGCTCATCTTCGCTTCGCTCGGAACATCCCCACCGCTAAAGTTTTTGCCTTCAACTTCCTCGTTGATTTGAGCTGGTAGAATTTTCTATTTTTATCCCAGGGCGCCGGTGGTTGGGGGGGGTGGGGCTAAACTTAAATATGGGTATTGTAAAATTCATGATTTTTGGGGAAATTTTGTATGGTTTTGCTTCTAGCTAGGATGCATTGTCTTCGACGGAATTTGTGCTGATGGAGTTGCTAGATGTGGGGTTGGCAGAAGTGAGATCTGCATTGGCACACATCAGTGAGAAAGTCTGTCCACCTTATCAAATTGTAAGCATGTTTCTGATGTTAATTCTTGAGTTCAATTTTAAGGCTTTTCTTTCATTTCCTTTGCTTTTTCTTGGAATTTTGGTTTGAAACTAGTAGTGTTTCTTCTAGGCATTATCATTGATGGAGCAAAGGGTTCAAAATGAGGTGTTTTCAAGCCATCTTCCGATGGGGCTGAAAGGATTAGATACAGCCCTTATCTGGTGGTGACTGATAGCATGGCTGCTCTAGTTTCAGAGTAAATCTCATATTCGTTTGATGATTTTGACCTGTGCTCATATATATTGATAAGTTGAATTTGTATATATATAAATGTGGAATTGTCACTTTGATATTATTGATATTTGGATGAATTTTATGAGATTTTACATGGTTCACATTCTTTATGCAGAAAAGAACTTGAATGCATAAAAAACGTTTTTGAAATTAATTGAATATTTTATGAAAGTTGAGGGACTGAATTGCAAGAAGAAGGGCGCTTCTTTGGGGCTTAAATGAATGAATGTTGAGTTGTGGGATCTAAGTGCTCATCTTACAAAAGATGGAGGACTAGATCTTTTATTTTACCATTGAAGAAATTGCAAAAAGAGTCCAAAAACCAACATGGGTGTAGTGTCGACACATAATCGGAGTATCGACACCATGGGTTAAACGTCCATAATTAGACTTTTTGTTTTCTGTTTTGTATCGACACGTAATTCAAAGTGTTAGCACCATGCGTTCAGCGTCCAAATTTCAACTTTCCTATTCTGTTTCAAGTACTACTTCTATTCCAATTAGGATTTCTAAAATCTTATAAATACTTATCCAAATTCAGAATTAAAGGAGCTTTGTGACGGCTGGTAACAGCTCTCTTTTGAGCATTTTTGAAGATCGAGAGAGAGAATTCAACAATAGAAGATCAATGATTGCAATTTTCTCAAATTGGGTTTTATTCTTCCTTATTATTCTTATGTTCATAACTATGATTTTAGATTTTATTATTTTTATTATGAATTGATTTATTCTACTAGGGCTATGATGTAGCGTAATCAATTCAATATAGATTTTGTAATTTTATGCTTTCAATTAAAGTTATTTGCATGAAGATTTTATATTATTGAATTTAATGTACTGGAAGCATGGTCACTTTTCGATTGATTTAGTGATTTATGCATAAACTTGAGAAATAATTGTGTAAATTAGACCAATAATAATATAAATCGTGTGCTAAACTATAAGACCGAGAGGTAATTAGGTCACATATGAAGAGAAAAGAGTTAGAAGCTCTCCCTTCTTAAGCTAGTGGTTTCCATAGAATTTAATGCTTATTAGTTTGTTTAAAATTACATAAAGATATGATTAATTTAACAAAAAAGTGAAGAATTAACTTGACTTGAGAAAGCTAGTTAATTTATTTAGGGAAATTCGTCATCACATGCAATAACACTCAACAAATTAGCATATTAATCTAGAATTTATATTGATTGATTATGGTGAAATCAATGCTTTTGTACCTCATATCTTGGTTATGTTGAATTTAATTGTTATTTTCCTTCTATTATTTTTTAGTTAAACTTTCTTCTTTTTCGATAGTTCAAATAAATTTTGTTTAATTATTTTGGTACTTAATTAAACACAATCTCATGGGTTCGACACTCTACTAATCATTATATTACTTGAAGCGACTAGTACACTTGGTAGGGTGATTTTAGTGCATCATATACACTCAACTAGTTATGATCTTCAGAGTTCAGATACCAAGTGATGTTAGTATTGTTAACTGCATATCATCTTATGTTTTGGGATAAACATAATTGCCATCCATATCTTGAACTCACATTCCAGATGGACTCCATTATCTTAAACAAAATGACATTAGATCCTATACCTTAAATTTTTAACATAAAGGTGGGACAACATGCAAACATGTCTTTGCTAGTTTTGGCAAAACTCACCATAGTAGATAGTACATGTTTTGGAGGTTTACTTTGAAGTGCTTTATTTGGTTCAGGAAAGACAAGAAGGGAACTTCTAGAAAACAACCATTAAGCTGGCATATTTCCTTCATTAAGTGAGAACTCTTTCCTCTTGATTTCCCATCCTTGATCTAGTTTGGTTGTCTTAATTATAGTTTCCAAGTGATGCATTGTTATGCTTCATTATATGCAGGTCACTTGTTGAATTTCACAAATTCCTATTGTAGTGACGAACCAAGTGAGATCTCAAAGCCACAATCAGGCATGTTAGTATTCCTTTCAAAGTATGATTGCCTAATCAAATTGTTCAATTCTGCATGACTTGTTTACACAGTAGAATTTATAATGTGCAATGCATAGCGAGAGGGAGAATTTAGAGACTTCTGCATTGTATGACACGCATCTTGTTGCTGCTCTGGGTATTAATTGGGCTCATGCTGTAACCAATTGTCTTGTGTTGGAATTTAAATTAGGTTGGCACAATGCTTGAACAATAAAAGAGCCTTATCTCCCATGAATTCAACTCTTTTTATTTGGAATAACACTATATTCTTCTCTCCAAATGTTGGAAGAAAATGCTTTCATAATGTTTATAGCTTATACAATTTCATTTCATTTCTCCTAAGGCTAAAACTTCTATTTCTAGTTTAATATCTTTTGAAGAGAGTCAAATATTATATCCGCCTTATCAATGAATTCAAATTTCACAATCTTCTCTTCCCTTGCAGGTCAAAGGTTTGTTAAGTTGGCAAAATCTCCATTATCTCCACCTCTTGCTTTCCCTTTCCACATAACTTCATCAGGCATTTCCTTGCTAAATCATGATGGAATAGAACTTATGGGACCAGAGATAAACTCAATTCACTATCAAGGTTAGCAAAATTGTTCTATGCATTTGTGAGTCTCTGTAGTTAACTAAAGAAAACTCTAATATGAATTTGTGAGTTTCTCTGATGTGGAGCACTTTTCATTTTAGATTGATTAATCTACATACAAATGAGTTCCTGAATATATGCAACTTACATATAACTGTTTCTGCATAAAAGATAAAAATAACTGCTTCTGACATAGTTAACTTGCTAGAACTAACTGCAGAAAACTAGAAACAATTGTTACAAATTAAAAAAGCATAACTGTAAATTGCTATCTTCAACACTCTTCCTTGCTTTTTATATTTGTAACTCCAAGCTATCTTTGAACTCTTCAAATTTTCGCCTCAGAAGAGGTTTAGTCAGGATATCCGCAACTTGGACTTTAGAATCACAATGCTACAAAACAATCTCTTTTTCCTGAACATAATTTTTGATAACATGGTATTTAATCTTGACGTGTTTGGTCCTACCATGCTGCTCTGGATTTTGAGCAATAGCAATTGCTGACAGCATGATTTGCTGCTGCTCTAGCTACTAAATACTCAACCTTAGCTATGGACTGAGTTACAACATCCTCCTTCTCCCTAAACCAAAAGAGAACACAGAACCTGTTGTGCTTACCATATCATGGAACTTGCCCAGTCACTATCAACATACCCTTGCAACCTTCCTTGTGGATTACTGTCAAACCACAAGCCAAGTTCATAGGTTCTTTTAATGTAACTAAGAATTCTCTTGGCAGCAACTAAATGAAGTTTACTAGGAGCAAACATAAATCTTGACAAATAGCTTGCTGCAAACTTCAAGTCAGATCTAGTCGCAGTTAAACAAAGCAGGCTACCAATTAAACCTCTGTAATAGGAGGAATCAGCCTTGGTTTCTTGATCATTCTCGAAAAGTTTCTCATTTTGAACAAACGGGTTGGCAACTGCTTTACAATTCTCCATTTCAAACTTCTTCAAGATATCCAGTGCATACTTTCCCTTGCAAATGAAAATTCCCTTATTCAATTGTTGAATTTCAAGCCCCGGAAAATACTTTGTATCTCCCAAATCTATCATTGCAAACTCCTGCATCATAACCTTCTTGAATTGTTCCAACAACTTCAAATCATTTCCAGTTAATAACAAGTCATCCACATAAGGTGACAAAATAAGCTGAGAGTTACTGCTACGGCCTTTCACATACAAAGTTGGTTATTTTGTGCTCCTTTTGAACCTTTTTATGCCACAAATCTACATCCACAGTTTTTGAAGCAAAAAAACAATGCTGCAGCTTTTTACAATCCAAAGGAAATTTTTTCTCTACCATTTTCACCTAACTATCTCATCACCAGTAGGGACATAAACAAAACATAATCATGCTCAAAAGATAGGGTGTGCCCCTTTTTCATCATTTGTGCAATAGAAAGTAAATTTTGGCTTAAGGTAGGAATAAACAGGACATCAGTAATTTGTTTTGTGCCTGTTTTAGTTTGAATAATTGCAGTACCTTTTCCCTGTGATCTCACTACAGTACCATTTCCTAGCTTGACATTTGTAATAACTGATTTTTCCAATTCAACGAAGAGACTTTCATCTCGGGCTATATGATTGGTACATCCACTATCAACATACCAACTACTAGATGGCAGCAATGAACCTTGTGACACCATAAACAAGTAGTCCTCCTTGCACTGATCTTTAGCATGGTTAACTTGCTGTTGTTACTTTGGTCTGTACTGAGCTTGCTGATGTGACCGATGCTGTCGCTGTTGCTTAGATCTGTAATTCTTCTCTATATGGCCATACTTTTTACAAAATCTGCACTGAATTTGTGATTTGCCTTTGAACCTACAATCTTTTTTTTTTCATGATTAGTTTTTCCACAATGACAGCATGGAGGAAACCTCACTTTTTTGCTTTGCTGATGCTGCCAATATGTTTAGTTAGAACCCAGGGTCTGATTGCATTCAGAACTAGCAGCTGGTTATTTGCCTTTTTGCCTTGCAAGGAAGGCTCCTTCTGTAGTCTCATCAATTTTCATAGCCAACCTTTGCTGGCGAGTTGAAGCTTGTTTATGAGCTTAGTAATGGTTAGCTCTTTGAGGTCACAAGATTCTTCTATGGAAAAAATCTTGAATTCAAATTTATTTGGTACACTAACCATAATCTTTTCCACAATCCTTCGACTTGGAAACTCCTCACCATGAAATCTAATCTGGTTGACAACATCCATTAGTTTGTTTGAATATTGATGAACTGTTTCTGTCTCCTGCATTTTTAGCATCTCAAATTATCTTTTGAGGGTTACAACCTTGTTACCTTTAACCCGTGAACTGTCGTCAAACTCTTTCTTAAGAGTATCCCAAGCTTCTTGTGCTGTTTTTGCTCCCATGATATTTGAGAAAATGTCATGTGTTACACCATGATGAATATATGAGAGGGCTTTGTATGCAGCTTGAACATAGTCAGCATGTTGCCTCATCTAGGCTACACTTGGATTATTTGGTAGCATAGGAGGATGAAACCCATTTTCTATAGATTCCCATGTGCCATTACCTCTTAGAAAATCCTTCATTTTGATAGCCCAAACATTATAATTTTCTCCTATGAACATAGGAAGATTAGAGAGCGATGAAGAATTGTTTGAAGACATGGCTGTGTTTTTGTTTACACAGCTTTTCTCCATCACCAGCACTCATGTTTGCTCTCTCTCACCAGAATCTGAATTTGTTTGTTCTCAAAGGCCCCTCAAGACGATTCTGCTCTTATACTAATTGTGAGTTTCTGGAGTTAACTAAAGAACACTCTGCTCCAAATTTGTGAGCTCCTCAGATGTGGAGTTGTTTCATTTCAGATTGATTAATTTGCTTACAAAGGAGTTGCTAAATGTATGCAACTTATATATTACAATTTCTGCATAAAAGATAAAATAACTACTTCTAATACAGTTAACTTGCTAGAACCAACTGCAGAAAACTAGAAAGAACAGTTACAAATTAAAAATGTATAACTGTAAACTACTATCCTCAACAGCATTAAGAACTGTTCATCACTGATGTTTTTGTAATTCTGATCTTCCACTAAAGAAAATACTACATGAAGCATTCACTTGTGCGCTCCATTCTAATTGTTTCCGTGGACATGGGTTTTCTTAATTTCAGATGGTCTGGGTGTATTACTAAACATGTTATTCAAGCTTATTTGTTTATTCATTTCAATGAGGATATTCAAAAAATCTTGTATTCCAATGACAAATTTGCAGGGCACAATGAAATAATCAATTTTGGAGTCGAAGCCATGTAGTGATCTGTCGGAGTAGAAGTTGTATGATCTGCGTTGCAAGAAGTTCATAATACTATGAAACTGTTGAAGCTCATTTGAACTCATGTCCTCATGCACCCTGAGAGAAACATCAAGGATGTGCTAGATTCCTTGTGCTTATGCCCCATAACATCAAGGAAAGTGACAAGATTATGTGAATCTTGAGAGATTCATGCAACCCATTTTAGAAGTTGAAAGTCATTAAAGA